GGATTTCAGTGGGTTTTTTTTCTGTCATTCGGCTTTTCCAAAATTCATTCTGGTTAATAGTGAAATTAATTCCTACTACCATATTATGCAAACATGACACACAGTCACCTATTCCATAAGCATCACCCTCTTCATGTATCACAAAAACACTCAAAGAATTAAATGCGCTTCGTTTATGTCTTCTGTGTTTATCTCCACTCCTTGCGACAGCCCTAGTCAGTAAGCTGTTAAGTTTCCTTTCCTTTCTGGTCCTTTGCTATTTATGTCACTGGATTTTTGGAAACAGGGTGACCACAATTACATGCAGTGTTCATACTTAATCACAACATTAAATAGTGAAGGGGGGTTATAGCTTTGTCTCCATTTTCTATACCTTGTTTTTTACTCTTGAATCCAGAGTCCTGTGGGATGCTACATACTGAGCAAAAGTTCACCCTGAGTAGTCCAAAATGACTACCGTTTTCCAAAGTAGTTATATTTTATTAAAAATCTATAAAAGCACATTATTTATAAAAATAATCCTCTAACCAGCAATATCTGAAATTTTCCTACAATTAATTTTGTCTGCACTTGATATTATGTTGCCCAGTTCCTTCTTTTTCTTCAAACTACTCTGAAGTCCTTTCAGATTAGACTATCACAACAAATAAAATACATTCCCCAAATGTATCATTTACTGTCATTCTCTTCTTCCTTCCTATGATTTGGTAAACAGGTACTTACTCGGTTACAGAATAAATGAGATCATATTACTTCATTGTATAATAATGTTAAGTATTTACCAAGAGGTCTGGGAAACCAATGACAATAGTAGCATAATTATGTTCATCTGAGAAAATCCTGTTGGGGGAGCTGATCTTTTGTCCCACAGCTGCACTGAGGTTTTCTGAAGATAGCTGGTCACTTGAAACTGCGTGCGGCACACACAGTTCTGACGCTAAACAGGGAAATTGAACAAAATGAAAGTCATTAAATCCAGATGTGCAGTGGGAAACAACGTTAACTGTCTGAGTGCTGAGCACTAATCACTGCTGTTATTTTGAAGATCAATTTACTAAAAAGCAGAAAATCTGATTATACCACACAGTAACACATAAAAAAAAGTCAGGAAATAATGTTGTTAGTAAAGTTAAGTGCTTATTATCAGGAAATACTAGTTTTCTGGTTGCTTGTAAGACTTAATTTTGTCCTTTCCTATGCAAATGAGGGAGGAGGCCTGTGCAGGAGAACAGCATGTGATTGTATTATTAAAGAAAGATGGAGAGAATGCAATTGCACAAAGAGGTAGAAGGTAGGTGTGCAGGTAAGTGTCCATCTGACATTTTCTGGCAACTGTCTCTGGCTTTGCAATCAAGTATTTATGTTATTTGTAAGAAATTTATGGTAGTAATGATCTAGTTCCCTTTCTTTTTAAGCTAGGGAAAACCGAATTTTATTCTGTGCAAATCTAAGAACTCTTCACCTTACTGCAAATTATCAACACAGTCAGAACCCAGTATCTTTAGCTCTTCAGCACATACTGCTTCTCTTGACTCAAAACATGATCTCCTTTACCTGGCAGCAGGACAAAGTCTTTCTTCTCTCAGAAAACAAATGGGCTAGTGGTTTGGGTCAGTTGAAAACCCAAACTGGTTTACAATTTCTTAATTCCTCTCCACAAGTTCTGCCTCAAAGCTGAAGATGTTATGTTCTGACTTTGGAGAATGATTTGGAAAAAGTTAAGAGGACTTTTTATATTGAAACATTTAATTAAAAAATAAGAGTATAAAAACAGCACAAAAAGCAGGTAGCTATTAATTGTTCACAAATACTTCTAGATTGGAAATTATAACAAGGTTTCTAGCCATCTGAGGAATGATATTCTATAATGGTTTCTAAATAAGATAGTAGGAGGAAGGAAACGACTGCTTTCTGATGGAGCTTGATAAGTTGCTGGAGTAAACTGTACAACAGATAAAAAGGACCCTCTGTATTTAAAGTGCGATAGGTCCTTGGTATTCGATTTGTTGTTGTTTGTGTAAAATAAACCTTATTTGTTGTTTGCCAATAATATTTACTTGTTTAACGTTTACATTTTATTAATCTTATTCGTCATACTTACATTTGTCAGCCACAAGGAGAAAGAAAAATTTTGCCCCTTCAATACTTAGGAAGTGGTTTCTCTATTTTTCTTCTCCCTCTTAGACACACTGTGGATAGGCCAAAGCCTATAAACTGTTGGTAGGGTGCACGTTTACTTCTAGTGATATTAAACCAGGTAGACTAAAGATTTTGTGTACCTTGACCAAATGCTCAAGGTTAAAAATGCCATCATATCTGAAGGTTGACATATTCTCACAGGGCAGAATGATGACTATTGGAGGTTTCTGCTTTTTTTCTGTAGCCTAAGACAGGCTGCACTTCTTAGCATCATCTATGAATTTCACTGAACAATCATCTTCCCCTATTTTATGATGTAGGTGTGGTGGAGTTGGTGGCCTCCTACACACTTTTATAAATTGTGGCTTTTGCTCTGTATTAAGAGTATGCCAATTAAATGTTTGATGAATATATTCTTACCTGTTTGAGTGTCTTCTAGCTTGTCTGAGCGTGTATAGCACACCCACAAGAGTCTACAGACTATTTGTCCCTTCTATACCTATGTTCTAATTCCCGCTTAGTTGTCTTCTGTCCTTTTCCATCCTGTATCCTTGTGGATCTCCTAAAAGTCCATGACTGAGGCTAATAAACGTTATAATGCAAGAGTTATTTTATTTAAACACCCTGAAGTTTGAACACAAGATTTGTCATGCTTCATGGAACATCTTTATTAACTGAATGTGTTCAGAGGAGGAAAAAAATCAGGAAGAAGGCTACCCAGACCTTTAAAGTAAAGGATCCTTGTTTGTGCAGCTGCAAACATAGATGTGATTTAAAAAAAAATAATAAAGCCAAGATTGTATTCAATACCTGTTGTTAAGCCAAACCCCATGTCAGCAGGTTCTTCACTCAGTGCATACAGCTGGCAAACTTCACTGTCTTCCTTTTCCATATGGGCACGCTTGGTTAAAAGAAATTTCCTGTGAAGGATACATGTTTATAGTAACTCCTGATTAAACTGTAACTCTAAACAAGGACTTTAATTTTCTGAAATAACAACACCAATCTATGTTTATAGAGGTTATCAACACCTTTTTCTAAGACTAAATATGATTTACCAAACATCTGTGAGATAGAAAGAGGGTAAGCCAGCCAAAGGCAGATTTGCTTTCTGGTAACTCTTTGAACACTTCTATTTGCCGTGTGTGTATATAAAATAAGAAAGCAAAGTTTCCTTCATATGACTATGAAGTTAAAGGAAGCAGACAATAATCCTGAATGACAGAGCTGTATATACAAAGCAAATCCACTAACATTCTCATTTCTAAATATCAATATCACCTCCTAAAAACAGGAATTAACATGCACACACTGAAATCGATTCTAAAAAACTTGGATAGGCACATCCTTTTGTATTTTCTACTTTGAATGCCTACCTGCACTTTCGCCAAATGTGCATCTGAAATACCAACTGCACATGTATAGCTATTCATGCAAGCCAAAAAAGCAACTTTTGTGTCTCGTTAGATAAAACGGTGCATGTAAACACTGAAGGCTCAAATATTCATATTTTATTTGGCATTATACAGTATGTGGCACATGGTCTAAGCCCAGGAGTGAATCTCCTAATCATAACCTGAACACAAACAAGAAATAACAGCGTAAAGAAAACCAGGTTTAACTGACCGATTTGTCTGGTTTTCCACCAACAGCCACCGATCTTCAGCCACTAGGAAAACAGATTTGAGATTGATTGGAAGGGAAATAGTATGAGTTTGACCCTCCAGTACATCTAACACAATAAGGCGGTTTCTGTAAAATTGGAAGCCAAGAAAACAACAGTTAGATGGAGGTGTGCATGAGTAGGTCCATTAAAAATCAATGTCACAAAAGCATGTAATTTAACTCTCACCCTTCTTCTTTGTAGAACACCAGCCAGTTTTTGTGCGAAAACTCCCGGCACATTTTGTAGCTGCTCTATACAAAAATAAGTCGTTCAGCAGTTAGGGTTTGTTAGATGAACCTCAGTGAGTTTTCCTCACTTCTCTAAAAGTGTACCACATTTTTCCTTTACTGAAAATCTCTCACTACATTTATTACAGCTCAAAATGCTATCTATCCCTGCTGTCCCAAGTCATATAATTGCAGCATAATTGAGTTTATTTTGAACATAACCCTTTGTAATTAAATGTTCTGTTATTCCCAGGTCTATAATCAAAGAAGGATTTTTTTAAATGTTCAGACAGTATGACTTATTTACATATCTATCATCATTCTACAGCTTCTATTTTCAGTTTAAGGCATTTAAATATATACAGGAGGGAAGGATTAGGGCTTAGGCCCTAAGAACAGTAGGAGAAACTAACCTGGATCATTTTTTCCAATATTGAGCTTTAAGTGACAAATTAATTTGGTATACTACAGCTAGGTGCTACTTCTCACCGTCTCCTCCTTGCTGCTCCACCAAGATGTTTTCCTGGGACTCTCTGGAGTATCTGGTAAGAGCAAAAGCCGTCGAAGGGCGCCACTGTTTGTATCCAGCAACAACACAACGTTACTCTGGAAATGGAAAGCAGATCTGTGTTCATCTCAAGCCCATTTTAGAGACTACATCAAATCTATATGAAGCAACATTGCAACTCTAGCAATCCAAGGTGCTTTGAAAAGATGACATTGATTTTGCTGGAAATGCTCTTGGTTCATTTCAAAGTTGATGGACAAATTTAACTTAAGAGATAAACACCTACTAAAAGGCTAGAATCGTATTTCCATTTTCCCATCATGTTTTATCTTAAAACTGACAACAATTTTGCACAGGCTCTCTAGAAAGTGGGCTAGGACGGCTTACATACTCAAGCTCTAAATCACACACAGCAATCCTTAGCAGGCAATAACATGTAAAAGACACACCAGTTTTGTTCTGCCATGTTACTACTTTGTTTTTATATGTTTTCTTAGCATTACTCTGAGACATCTCTCACGTATATAAAACTGATGAAAGGAGAAATGGCTCACTATTTCTCTCATAGCTCATGCTTCAGATGCCCAGGAGACTGGGGTGCACGGCATAGATGAACGCACCTGATATCCCAAATACACAACTTGGTGACCCAGCTTGGTTGTAGGTTCATTTGAAACATCTCATTTAGAAAGCACCACAGCTGCTCCTAATGTGTTTAACCAAGACTTCCAGAGAACAATCACTCAGGGCCAACCTTAACTGCACCAAATGAAATTTAAATTGTACAAAAGCCCAAGTTAATTAAGCCCTGGGATGAAATTTTTGTTTGTCTTTCAGGGAAATGTTAGGTTCTGCAGGGACATTAGGTTCTGCAAGGACTTATTAAAAGTAAGCTGTCTACATATAACATCTGCAGTAACGCACAATAAAGTGAAGGGAATAAAATGAATTCCCACAAATTCTCCCAAATAAAACAGATACAAACAATCTGAGTCACTGTGTTTTTGTTCTTTTTGGGTACACTTGATACTTTCACTAGGATTATTTGGGAGAATTAACTTTTTATTTTTTTAATAATGACAGTCCTTTAAAACTAAATATGGTAAAGCATTTAAAATATTACCATGTTATTCGCAGCATTTGGGATATTCAGCTGGAATTCAGTACTTCCAAAAAAACCACTTTGCGTATGTACTTCAAACCAAAATTACAGAAGTGTGGCTCAGGAAAAAAAAAATAGTAGTGCAGGGCATTTGCCTTGGATTCTGGTTTTCTGCCATATTTCAATCATGTTCTTTCACTTAGCATTAAATTTATGAGAGCAGTTGGCAGCCTCAACAGCCTCTCCCCTCCACCCCTCTGGATGCTAATGGTTTCCTTCTGCGCTAAGTGACTGAGGTATATTCTGCCTGTGTGCAAGAATAGATGTTTGCGTCACTGGCAAACACATCCCAAAGCAGCCCTGGCAGCGCTGCAAGGGGGCTGGGAAAGGGGCGGGTGTGCAATTCCGCTGCGTGTGCTCTCCACTGGGAGAAAAGCAACCTCTGGGCGACCTCCTGACCCCCGTGTCTGGAATTCCAAACTTTGGACAGATGCAATAACCAATCTCAAGAAGCAGTGGGCCTTTATTTTTAGTCGCTGCAAAGTTTCCCTTTCCTTGCTGCTGTTTTTATTTTAGCAAGTATTTCCCTCTTAGAAGTCCTGAAACCAAACAGGGCTGTGATTTCACTTTGCTGGTATGGGAAGTTGTTCTTCGTGCTCTGGTAGAAAGAGCATTGGGGGAAGGAATAAACTTCAATTTCAGAGGAAGAGAATATAAAGCATCCAGTTTAACCCTCTTGTATTCTATATACTCTTGCATTTTCTGGCTGCTTACACTCACAGTTTCACCTTATCCTGCACTTGATGCTCATGTCCCACGCAAACAAGCTCGCAAACACAAACTCATCTTCACTGAAGCTGATTCTTAGCTTGACACCTCTGTGCAGCGTGTGCTCTCTGTGCCTCCTATCCTCCTAGCACCTTCTCTACAAGTGCTACCCAGTGACCAGCACCTATGGGTGACAGGCATGTAATACTGACACTGTGACACTAGTATAGAAATGGATATATTGTTCATTCAGTTAAAGCATGAGAAGTCTGTGCCATGATCTATGGTTTCAGGCTCAATTATAATGCCCTTACAGGTGCGAAAATGCATGCAAGTAGATTACAGACATTTTAATTAATGGGAGCACAGTCCTGCAGATTTACCTGGGAGACTTGGCTGTACTAGAGATTTCAGGAAACTAAGGAAAGCAAAAAGAAATATGACCTTTGTGTTTACAGAAAGGAAAGGCTTCACCGTACATAAGATCCCCAAAAGATGTGAATTTAATAATGTCAAACCGTTTTCAGGAAAACATCCTTCTCCTGAAAGCATATATTAGAATGCAATGGAGACTGGAGGGAAACTGAAGCACTTTTCTCTCTTCCCACACCATTTCCTGACAGCAAAAGATAAAAGTGGAGTTAAAGGATGCTGGCAGGACACTGCCCGGACATGGCTTTACACTGCAAATTCCATCTTGCAAACAAATGACGGAAGGTTTAGGAAGCATCTCTCCAAAGTCTATCTCTGCAGTGTGACAGAAAAGGCAGAGTGACAATAGGCTGTGCTCACTATGAAGCTCAACAGACACTGCGTTCAAGAGAGCCTCTTACTCCTGCTCCAAAAAGATGTAAAGGTGGCTTAAAAACAAATCAATCTCTGATTCAAACTATTAAGTTAAACCCTCACTAGATTTGTTTTAGCAAAATTTTACTTAGAAGGACAGGAAGGAATTGTGGCCTTTCATTTGATTTCACTGGAAGGCTCTACTGAATCCACATGGATATCACCTTAGAAATAATAAAGCACAGACACTTACTTGAAGAGCTACAATATCATCTCATCCTCCTAAATATGATTATCATACACCTAAAATTGATCTTTTTATAACTTTCTAGTAACATTCATCTCAAAAAAATCCTTATTAAAACAAAAAAAAAGGAAAAATCTTTAGCCTTTCATAGTGCCTAATCAGTGCACTATGTTTTTAAGGAAATAAATGTCAAGTGGGCAGCTTTTTTCTGAAAATAAATGCACTTTCTGATTTCAAATATCAGTAATACTTCTTGACATTGCAAATACATATAGACAAATCACTAAAGCATAAGCTATATCATTTACATTGTACTTGGCTGTGAAAGTCTCTTTGATACATCCTTCAGCCCAGGTAGCTAATCCTTGGGAACCTGCCTAGTGACAAAATATACCACTGATCTACCTGTACTAATCTACCTGTGCTACACATCACACCTAGCATAAGGAAGGATGGCAGTGGCCATGAACATGACAACTGACCTATACTTTGGTCCCTCATTTAAAAATCAGTACCAAATAAATTACTCATGTACTCCATGAACATGAACATAGGAGAATCATAGTTCATCATTTTTTTTCTGTGCAATCTGCTCACTTAGATTATACAAAATGTCCAGAATTACTTTTGGGCAGTGTTCTAACTATATACTGACTTTTTACAAACAACTTTGCATTTTAATAAAATGCATTTTCATACTTGATGAGCAGAATCAATCTTAATATTAATTTTGCATAAGTTTTAAAACAAAGCATTCGGAAATATTATAATTACTACACTGTCTTCCAGCAGTCTAAAGACACATATTCAAATTCAAGATTCAAATTCAGAGAACTTGCTTAACTTTCCTTAGCACTTGCTAGCATTAGCACTTGCTGAGGAAAGTTGGGGAAGACTGAAGGAAAGAAATTTAGACTTCAAGTCAAAGATAAAAAGGATGTTACAGCTGAACTGAAGCAGACTGGAGAGGAGCCCTGAGATACTATTTTCTTTCTGCAGAACAATCTTTCTTTATTTCCGATTTTAATTCATGTTTTCACTGAAAATTGCATTCTACGAGGACAGGCAAAACCAGCCATCAAGTTAACTACTTAAAGCTTCACACAAGAACGTTTGATATAAAACATACTGCTGAAACAGAGACTAAACGCAACTATGATTTGATTAAGAATAAAACTATCAGAAAAAAAAATATTTTCATGGTAGTAATTTTAAAAGCTTGGAAAGCAAAGAAGATTGTATTTTCATGGTAGCAATTAAAAGCTTGGAAAGCAAAGAAGATTGCTGGACTTTATATTAAAAAGTGTACAACACCAAATGTTCTTAGGCAGAAGATAGACTGCCATCTGTTCTGCAATTTCCTACATTGACTTTGTCAGAAAAGGCCAAGGATTGTTTAGAACTGAACCAATTTTGTTACATTCATGTCAAAGTAGGTCAAACAGCATTTCTGTAGGTGTTCAAGACAACTGCTTTGACATTAAAGAGTGTCCAAGGCAAAGCTGAAGTAGGCGTACAACATTCTGCTAAAGGCAGAATGACCAGATATCTTATAAGCTCTTAGCTGTAGTCTTAACACCAGCACACAACAGGTTGTGTCAACACACGACAAACAATCCTGGAGCAAAAGTATAGCAGAGACACTCAATATGGAATGACTGTAAACTGGAATGACTTCTTAGACCCCAGCTCAGTGTAGGAAATGTTCTTCTAAATTGGCAGCTCCTTCTACTCTACAGAAGAATGGCGGAAGAAATTCAGAACAATGAAAGAAAAAGGAAGAATGGCAACCAAAGAATGACCAGATACAGTCCTCACATCAAACCACCATGACTCGTAGGCAACATAATAACCTATAACAATAATAATAAGAGCAACTTAATAAAAACAATGTCATCAGCACTTTATCAACTGATCTCTCTTTCCGCTCCTGAGCAAAGAGGTTTTAAATTGAAAACATTCCAATCAGCCAGTATTAGTAATTCCAAGTAGAAAGTATGCATTGCTTCACTCTGAAAAAGAAGTTTCCAGTCAAAACTAAAGAAGTGATTGACTAAATCACTGACTAAAGAAGTCAGTGATTCTAAATGTGCATTTCTGATGCATTAAATGTCAGCGCTTACACAGCCTTCTCCCTGGGCTTGATACTGGAGATGCTACAGAATGGGAAATATCAGGATTTGCAAAACAAACCAAAAATAGTGACATGATACAAATATAAGCAACATTTCACTTTGTGACTCAGAAAACATGTCTCTTTCATATACTTCTCAAAAACAAGAGCCAAAAAGGTTCACAGCATAAAACAGCTTGCTTTGTAATTTCAAACATTCATTGCTTGTTTGAAACTCCTGAACTGAAACCATCTCCGTTTCTCTCATAAAGCTCTATCTACTTTTACCACCAAGAGGAATCAGATAAACAGGCTGAACTCAACTCCAGTAATGCATAAAAATATAAAGGGATGTTGTAAATCAGCTAAGAAAAGAGAAAAAGGTCCACATAAAAAAATAGAATTGAAGCAACTCTGATGGTTCAAGATACAATGAGAAGGAGCACATTCAGTAAGGGGTAGACTTATCCAAGCAATTTCAATCTACAAAGAATCTCACGTACCCTGCTTTATGAAACTGCTTTCCTCATCACTAAACATACCACTGAACTTTTGAGTTTGGTTTTTTTTACCTGCTCTTCATGTAGAATCACTTGCCCTTTGAGTGGATTTCCCAGGGGCGCCACAGTCACAAAAGGCTGCCAGACATTTCCAACTGTTCTGGGGAAGAGGTCATAAAGATCCACGAAGTATCCACTCTTACTAGAAACATTCATAAAGTACAAGGAAACAGGATTGCATGTAGCAACGTAAAGGACATTCTCAGCTTCATCTTCTGAAATAAGAAAATAAGATAAAATTAATGAAACGTTACTGACATTGTACATTGCTCTTCTGAAAGCATATATATCATAAAGTGGGCAGATATACAGTTTCAGACGATACAGGAGAGACTACAGCAAAACAGACACTGTTGACACAGGAAGATAAAGAGAGAGAAAATGTCTCTTGACTAACAAATTTTTTAGCAGGTAGAATGTTGTCATAAAGCTATCAACTCTTCAAACAAATAGTACAAGACACATCTATCCAGACTTTTTATTTTGTTTATAATCTGGGTCTTCCCTCCCTTCTGACCTACCAAAAGCCTCCTGCTTCCAATTACGATACTTAATAATGATACATGAGATGAATAGAAACTGCGTATGAAAATCTTTACATATAGCAGTTTTGGATTCGCTTCAGAAAAATCTCTAAATTAAACCAAAGCTATGCAATTTCTGTTTCACTTTCATAAAAGCTGGTGAATGCATTTGGAGTTAAGGCTACAAGGAGACAAAGGATATATTCTAGTATTAATCATTAGCGGCTTGTTTATAGTACACAATACATTTTAAGCATGTTTAATTTTGAGCCATAAAAATAGGTCATGAATATTCCTAATGATGCAATTCTCATTGGGACATAAGCAATATAGATAATTAAGTCAGGCTTGATCCAATCAGAAAGAATTTTAATCAGTATAAGCTCTGATTTGGTTTGAGAATGATACATATCTTTAGGAAGACCATAATGTCTCAATGAAATTAGGCTCCCATTTCAATGTCTGATTATTTTTGTATTTCATCTACTGTTTTAAAAAAGGAAAGAGGAAAAGGTGAAGCAACACTCTCTCTCCTATACTTCACTGCAAATATTCCCAGAAATACACACTGCTGTAAATACACTAAGGTGTTTTATCGCACTCATATTACCCTTGTATATGGCTATTAGCCAGCACCTATGGAATCAACAGGCCTTCCTTATTCCATGATATTTCTTATATTATAAAACTGGGGATCATTACCAAAGTAAGTTAATCCCTTTTCTTACTGCACCTTTTGTTACAGCAACATCACAAACGAAGTTAACCTCGTTCAAAGGCAGCGTCCAAAAGGCAAGCTCTTCTGAGAAGCTGAGGGCCCGGGCTTCCTGTCGCTCAATGGGAAATCCTTGAATATTTAAGTGAACAGGTCCCTAAAACAAATGACAACAATTAAAGCTTGCCAAAACATTTCATTCACCATTCCTTATGAAAAACCAGGGTTTTTTTTCAAGACTGTTAATGCTATGAACAATAGGAACAGACCAAACATTAAATAAATGAAAGGGAAAAGGAAATGCTTTTCTGCAAGCATCTGAATGTCCATACTGCAATTTTCTTTACACCATACAAACCATGCCTTCCATCCTTAGTCTTTTCTTGGTCATTCCTCAGTGACATGATTGCATCAAACACCGATATTTGATATCAAACACAGTCCATACAAAGAAAAATCAGAACTTTTTTTTTCTCATAGAAAAGTTAAATGATAATTTCTTGATATGTAAAATTTCAGTTCCATGTCACATTTGCAGTTGAGCTTTTTCTTATTTACTGAATTAATAATTGCTATAATTAACCCAAGAACTCAAAGCTGAAAAGGACTAAAAAGCTCTGGCTGAAGGTCAAATCAGACCAAAGGTTCAGATTCAAACCTGGCACTGCCAAAGCCTCGCAAGAATTCAGCTGCATGTGAAATAAGAACACAAAAATAGCTTTCATTCCAGTCTCAGACCTTATCCAAAAATCTAGGGAGATTCTGAGATATCTGAGATATTCTGAGAGATTTGAGGGCTGAAACTGACCACTTCCAAGCATCCAAAATTGCTTTAGAGGTCCTTCAAAAATCTTCAGCCTCATAAAAAGCTCAAGAACTTTTGACCAGATCCACTGATTTTAAAGTACATTTCAAATTGTGAGAGCTAGGTGCAATAAAAAAACTTTTTTTTTCTAGTCAGTATAGAAAACCAGAAACAATTAACAAAGATGAAGTTTTGTATATCCACTTTTTTTTTCTGAGGAAATGCATCACATTTCAGGTTTTTCAGATCCCTATATCTAAACTCTTCATTTTTTTTTTTTAAAAGAACACAAACCTTTATATCTATTCTTTGAGTTTCTGTTGGACACAGCAATTTCTGTCGTGCACTTCCCGTGTCCTCAATTTTCCAGTAGCCCATAAATTTATGTTCTGGTAACGGCAGTCTGCCAAACAGCATAGAAATAAATGAATTTTCATATTCATTAACCAGCAGTTAATATGGAATAAATCATTTAAGTAACATTTCTCTAACAAGCCACTTCTGCATTTTCTCTTACAGAAAACGTTTCCTCAGTGCTTTACCATTTCATTTCTTTTACATTTTAAATCACAAAAGATTTAGTCTTCTGTAATACCAGTATGATCACAATCTAAACAGCATAAAAAAGGAGCCTGTCACAAAATACGAACTCAGAAGAAAAACTTTTTCCAGGCTGAATTACTAGAGGTACATAATAAAATACATCCAAATCATGTAAAAATATGTCTCTTGTTCTGCTTTATTCAGTTCAGGCAGAATGTGACAGCAGCAAATAAAGTGGCACATTCCCCCAAGAAAACAGCAAAACGAGCACAGCAAAGAGTGGCAAATTCACCATGCAATTACAGGAACTCCTTCCTACGTTTGGCTCGTTGTACACAGATGTGAGTCTATGCCATTGCCTTCTGCCATCTCAGCCTACAAAAAGGACAGGGACATCTCCAAAAGCCTTAATTAACTTTCTTGATGCAATTTCTTCATTTCCATGCCTTTTATTTAGTGAAGAAACATACAGCCCACGGAAAAACTCAGTTATAAAGGAAAAGAAAATGATGGGGTATGACAAAGTAGCTTGAAAGCAGAAGCAATTTGCAATAGATAAAATAAATTTGACATTTCTAATTGGCATAAATACATTCAAGCTAATGAACTCATACCTTTATGGGTACTCTTATTTGGGATGAGTTGCTCCTAAACAAATCTATGAAAACTGCATTTTGTGTTACAAGCTGTTGCATGTTACTGCATGGCTACAGAACTTGGCAAGAGAACTGAAGATATTCCCTCTCCCAGTTTCTATAAATATCTCCAAAGTCTATTTTAAGGAAGCTCTCCTAGAACGTTTTATAAAAGTCTGTGCTTGGTGGCTTCTGTCCTGCCTGACGATGCTTTTTCCCGCTGTTACAATTATTTATCCCTCTCCACCAACCAACCTGGCACCTCTAGATACAAGAAGTTGGTTTCCTTTCTTCTTGATGAGCTTTCCGCAGTAAGAAAGGATCCCAAATCAAAACCCTCAGGTGAAATGCATATGAACCTTGGGGATTTTCATTCTGATTTATTAAGAGCTTAAAGGAAAAGGCAAGGAACAAACACTATTATCCTCCAATATTTCCAACTCATGCAAGAAACATAACATTATATACTGACACCACACCTCAACCAATGTGGAGATGCCAGTTCTCCTGGGGACAGAGTCCCTCAGTTTCCATCCCCATTCTGCATTTGGACCATCCGCCAAGGCAGCCAGATAGCCAAAGACAGTTTTTGTTATTTTGGAGTAGAAAATGGACATGTGCTATAGATCAGTGATGCTCCTAGGTGAATATACAGCTGTCAGCAATCAGAACTTGTGGGCATTAAATGAGGACACTGATTTTTTTCCTGTCTCAATCAAAAGAACCAGTAAAGTCTTCACTGCCTGTTCTGTGGCTTTTTTCAGAGTATCAGTGGATACCAGTGTTTGGAGAATGATTTATTTTGCATTCTTTCTCAGTTTGGTTTGCATTTTTCCATTCTTTACAACTAGCTGGTCTAGCCAGATTTGTCCCAAATTAAGAACAGAAATTAAGCCAAAGTCAAAAGCAATTTAAGCACAATATAGTTTAAGTTACAACATGGAAGACCACTAGGAAAAAACTGTTCAGGATGTACTATTTTAATGCATGCCCAATTCTGTGATTCATGAAGACGGATTCTGGCATTCATGCGGGCAGGAATAAGGCAAACAGTCAAGTCATTAGATATGACAGATTATCCACGAATGTGATTTCTATATTAAGCTCCCATTTGGGTTTCAAATTAATTTGCTGGCAAAACTTTAGTTATTTCTTGAGCCAAAACAGTCTTGTGTTCAAAAAGAGAGAGAAGACTTTCGTTGTTGTTGTTCTGATTGCTATGAAGAATCTGAAGTTCTGATATGCCTATAATCAGTGATAATTGTTTCCTGCTAGCTCAATGGAACATCATCTTCCACAAGGATTTGGACTTAGTTTGTAATTCCTTAAACATTACTCCCATGAGCAACATGCTAGAAATCAATGGGTTTAGTAATAATCATGAATACGTATTAAATTTTAAAATAAAACATATGTTAATAACCAGCTTTAAACAAATATCCTGCTTTATACAGCAACAGAATTAAAGATTGCATTCCCAAAGAAAGAAAACATTTCCACTATGTTTCAGCTTCCTGGAGATTTGCTTTGCTGAAAGTTCCTCTCTTCCCTTAGGAAAAGCAATTTCTCCTTTCTCCTAGATTCTTGAGGTTTTATTCACTGCCGTGTTTCTGAATGATTTATTTTTTCCAGAGTAGCAGACTAAGAAATCATAAGGAACAAAGAGAAGGGAAAGGTGGACCAGAATTCAGAGGAAAAAAAAAAAAAAAAAGAACACCCAGAATTCAGAAAACAAAGTTCCTTTGTCAAGAGTAATAGCGATCTTCATGTTTCAGGTTTCCTTTAACTCTGTATCACTGCTTTCCTAGTGTTTTCTCATAAAGACCTAGCCTAGGGAAAACTAAGAGCATTGAAGAAGCAGGTCTTATAATCACTCTGCCTCTTGAATGATTATCAGGAGTGAGCGAAGGTGAAGAGAGACGGGAACAACATGGAATCTGGAGACACGAACCACACTAAACACATCCATATTTCTCAACATTCCTCCTCTATTGAATATATATTATGTGCAGTAGAGTAGTTAGAAAAATTTCTTTCCCCAGGACTTACAGGTAACAAGCAAGTTTTGCAAATAACTAGAAGTGACAGCACTAGAAAAGGTTGACAGGGCACTCCTGCCACGGCGCAGGATTTCAAACTAACTGAATGAACCAAATACCTTTTCCATAATAAAACAGCAGACAGAATGCCACACAGATGCCACAATTGGCAAAAATCTGAAAAGTAAAGAGATGGATGTAGAAAAGCACACAGGTTGGGTAAGAATTCTGCTGCAACTCCATCACTACCTCCAACTGTAATGTACAGGATGAACTTTTGATTTATGCTTTCCTCAAAAGCTGGAAAAGGTTTGTAACAGAAAATCTAAATGCCAGACTGTGGTAAGATTTTTTAAAAAGACAAGGCTTAAAAGGAAGTTCTGATGAATTATTCCTAGTCAGTTCGTTCATTATGGATCTGTCAAAACCTGCAGGTTAAGAAAAATCTAAAAATATATTTCTATGTTAGCTTACGCTAGTCTTAATCTTACATCCTGTTCTTCTACAATAATTTGCTGTGGACCATAAAATGGTTATATAAGTGGAATTTTGGTTAGAAAAGTTGATGTACACAAGAACTACACTTGACACAGCAATTCTACATAAAAGCATTATTTAGAATTTCTTCATAGACTGCAGTCCAAGGGGAGAAAAGCTGTCAAAAGGTAACTCTCTAGTGGCTTCTGCTCCTGGAAAACTTTTCAAATTGACTTCTAGAGTACCCAATTTCTTTTGACTTGTACCCTTCTGATCTAAAAATAAAGTCATTTGAGGGTACTTTTAAAAAAGTAAATAGAACTTGCTTTATAAGTTTATACATTTACATTTTTGAGGAAAATATTGGGAAAAGGCTAAGAATCTTGTAACAATAAAGGTTCTGTGAATAAAAAAACTCTCAATCTGGCTATCATAGCCAGTATAGCTTCAGCCATGAATTATGTCAAGCAACAAAACTATTTAACATGCAATTTCGTAAACCAGCTCCATGTTGGAATTGAATGTATTATTTGAGGGCTTAAATAAGAGTGTGTGTTCCATTTAGGCAATCTTAATTTTTCAACTCGGATAAAATATAGTCTGACACCAGGGACCTTCTTTGCCAAGCAGATCTCTGTATTTTATGCAAAAATCTTTTCATCAAAAACATAGGCAGGAGACAGAAAAGACTTATTTAAAACCACTAGTTCCTTGACAGATGACTGCAGAAACCCTTCTCCTCCATCCTAGGACGGAGAGGAGACATCCATGATAAAAGCCAGGTCCAACATTTAACTACAAAGGGCTTGAAAGAGCAGTTCTTAAGAGAATAGCAAGCTCATTAGATTTACATAGGATTACATTCAGTATATGAAATAAACATTCGGGTTAGAGCAAGCACTTGGAAATACGTAGTAACAGCAGAAATAAAAGTGGGGTGGTCATTTCCCCAAGGATGAATGCCAGAATTAGAACAGAATTAAGCCATTTTACCAAAAAATCTTGAGAGATCTGAATTGTGTCACAAGATGGCACATTAAAATGAATACAAACAAATGAATACAAACAAATGTGACATAATAAATGTTAATGGGAAGACACAGTTTCACTCAATGCAAAGAAAGATAGTGAATTCCTAGAATCACTTTTACCACTACCTTTACCCCCCAAAGCAAAACCAAACATGTCTGAAAAGGTCATACTATGTGATACAGACACTATCACTCTTATAAGCTGACAACACTGAGCATAACAGTGTCTTGAAGAATAGTGATTTTAGCTCGAAAAAAAACCTCATGGAAACAAAAAAGCTGAAGTGTTCAGATGGGGAAAAAGTTGAGCCTTACTTTACTTGATTTTACTTGAAATACAGGAGGAAAAAAAACCCCATTCTGTAGTGTCGAATAATAAAACTAGTCTAATTCACTGTCTGTTTCACCATCATACTAAGTGTTAGGGAGTAAGTGGAATCCTATCCATTTAATATTAGAACAGGAGGAACCTTCACAGAACAAATATGCTGCAGAAGAATTGAAAGTCATAATACTGAGCCGGAATATTTTTCTTTGAAAGAAAAGATACCCTGAGGCTAACATTTTTCTTCCACATTTCTGAGTAGATGTAACATTTTTTTTTCTGCGGGTTTAGCAATTGCTGCAAGATCTCATAAGACAGTGTGAAGCCGTATACAAAAAGTGCAATACATGACACTAATTTGGCAAATAAATGAAATAGTTCCTATAAAAGAAGAGCTCACTTGAAACAATAACTACTAAAGGACCTTTTGGCAATTAGTGACCGCCTGATCTTTCCTTCTAAGAGTAGGTATATTAGTTCCAGAGTCTTAACTAAAATTCCCCTATGGGCTACTGATGCATTTTCCTGTAATTTCAGTTGGACACAATCTTCAACATTCACTGTCTTGAGACACTGTATTGAAGTGCTGGTCATGTGCCTTGTGTTTTTGTTCCTAAAATAAGAGCAGTTATCTTTCAGCAGGGATTTAAATAATTCTGATTTCTACTTTTTTTTTTAAGTGACAGACAGAAAGGCTTATTTGAAATTTTTAAAAATAAAATAGAGATTCACAAATTGAACACATGCCAGAGAGTACCTGAAGTCAATATATCAGTACAATGATGTAGTAGGTAGCTGAGTGGTTCGGAGTTTCATCCTAATTTTTGTTTTATTCAGTTATGGCACCAGCCAGTAAGTCTTTAAAGTCTTGCAAATCAAGGCCAGGGTATACAACTAGAGCTCTGTGGAGCACGTTGTTATCAGCAGGATGCTCTAGAAAGTATTCACAGTAAGTCTACAGCTTGTAAGATGCTGTAAACTGGCAGGAAGATGGGCTCAAGACTGGAAGTGATCTTGTCAAGTTAGAGAAATACTCTGAAAAAATACAAAAACACTCTGAAAAAAATAGAATGCAGTAAGAGAAATGCAATTGTAGAAGGGGAACGAGTGCTATTCAGTGGTTCTGCTGAAAGGGATATAGAGGTTCGTGTTCAGAAAAACAGAGATGAGTTTCACGTTGCAAGAAATGTCTGTGTACTCGGATTTGTAAAGGGGCTGCTGCATGAAATATGTCTGCTACTCAGTTCTATCAGGAACTATCCCATCCAATATTAGGCACAAAGTTTAAAGGTAGACATGGATCAGGTAGAAAGAGGGGGAAAATGATAGAAAGCAGAGGGCAAAGATAGTATATTTAATCTAGAAATGACTAGGGGCAAGGATATTTAAGAACAAGATTGGCTTCCTTAGGGAGATTACCTCCATCACTGACAGTTTTCAAGCTTGGATCCAGAAAAAAATCAGGTAAGGGATTAGATAGAACTTAGTTTTGTTTTCTTCCTTTGAAGGAAGTGGGATGGACTAGAATAGCACCATTATTTTAGCCTTGATTTCCTTCAAAACAGCAGAGAGAAGATCTGTATTCCTGCTCTAGATCTGAACACCTAGTAGCTCAGGGGCAGCCCTTTCCAAACACAATATCCGACTGCAGCAATGACTTCATCAGGGGAGCTTGCAATGCAAGCTGGACCAACTTGGAGAGGCTCCCCAGGCTTTCTTTAACCCCAAGGCAGAATCAACGACAATGAAACCCCAAAACACGTCTCCGTAATTCAGGGTGATCCGCTGTGGTCTGCAAGCAGTTATGACAGCTATCCTGGCAGGAAACAGGGGGATTATCTGAGAACCCAGTGAGACCGGAGCCAGGGGGTCAGACCAATCCCATCCTGGTAAGTTACTCTTAGCGACTTGCTTGTGAATTTTGGTAGTTTTCCTCCTCTTTGCTTTCAGTGCAGAGTGTGGCTGTCAACCAAATGAAGTGTTTGATGAGCATCTTGCAGGGTCTTCTAGGACAGGTAAAACCTGTCCTTAAAAAAAACCCCAAGGAATTCAAAAGGTCCAGGTGATCATTCCTGACTCAAAATGATCAGCTCTTTAATCCTTTTTCTCTTCTAGACTTAAGAGCCCTCAATTCCAGTCCTTCCTCTTACGTTCCCCAAGTCTCTGACATTCATGCCACTAAGCAGCCCTCTCCAGTTCATCCACGTACACCTGCATCTAATACTTCTAAAAATATATATATTTTAAATGAAAGTTTCTTAAAAACAACAAATACTGTTTTTCTCTGCAATAGAATTTTCCAAAGAAATTTCTTTTTAGCAAAGAAATTATGTCAAGAATTCCAAGCGTGCACTGTCAGTTTGATATATACTGTAGCTGATCAAGCATCGGTTCCCAAAGTATATAATACTTCCACCATCAGAATGGAAAGGTTCACCCCAGCCATCAGACTGCCAGGTATAATATTATTATTATATATTATATATAATAGGCATATGTAGGATGATAGGTATTATAACAGTGCTGCTTCAACAGGAGAAACCTACACACTTGACACCTCTCACACCAAGACGTCATGCCACAGGAATCAGTCTCTCCTTAGCAAATGCAAAAGTAGTATATGCCACAGAAAACTGAATTTTTCATAAATTCCTCCCTGTTCTTAAGAAAGCCTTGTTCATTAAAGGGAAATATTTGTTTCTCCGCATCAGAGTTCAAGGCACAATAAGACTTCTAACTACTTTTCAATACGATTTACTTAACCATTTTCTCTGTGATATATACAAGAATGAATTAAGGTTTTCATTTTACATTTTAGTTTATTCCAAGAATTTCCATGATTTTTTTTTTCATTCCAAACCCTAAAAAGTACAATGTAATGTGTCAACCACTAATACAATTAAAGAATACCGATATACAGACACATACAAAAGTGGTTCTTAGAGCTTAAATACTTAAGTGTGTTGTTATGGTCTACAGAAGCATTTTGTAGAGCCTTTGTGAGTATTAAAAACAAAATCCCAGTCCCACTGAAGACAGGTTTTTCTTTTGATGATCTATGATTCTATGATTCTTTTGCTACTACTGTAGGTGGCAAATAACACGACACAAATGAGTTGCAATTCAATTAAAAAAACACAGGAGAAGAAACAAGTATTTCCCTTTATTTATATGTATCTGTTTACCATACAAACTATCAATATGTACATGCACATTAAAGATTAATAGTAGTAATAACCAAATACTCTATCATATAATATTTTATATTTTTATAATATGTAGTAAGCAAAATTTATGCAAAATGAGAACTGGCTTCAAGTATTCCAAATTGCTTTTAAATCAATTAGCAGCAAGATAACAGACTATCAAAAAAGTGATCACGAGAGACCTGTCTTCTTAATATATATATCTTATGTTACTCTTACTCCTTGGCCAGCTGTACATTCGTCGGTTTTGCTCCGATAGGGATCCCATGTTTGTGCAAAGTGCTGATTAAAATTTCACGCATTTCTTTGTTGTACGAATCGAAATCAAACACGTTTCGAACAACGTTTGCCAATCCTTCAGCTGGAAATTTCTGTAAAGAAAAAAGGTCCCCACACTGTTTTAGTGAATATCTCTATTAAGCTACAGCACATTATAAAATACTTTTCATATGAAGAGTTTTAACAGTAACCTTGCTTAGCTTATACAGATGCACAAGTTTACAATTCCCTGAGAAAGGAAGGAAAGCTCATCCAAGTAAGAAACAAGATGCTGACACTAAACGTGAATTAAACAAATAGAAAAAATAAATATATAATGATTTTTAGTTTTAATCATTTTAATTACAATATAAAAGGATGGGCTAACCACTGAAATGTAATGTAATTAAATATCACCTGTATTTTAAAGTTAGAACTGCTTTCTGCTACCCAGGAGAACATGCCACAAATATATGTATTCATGTACTCAAATACACAATTTACAAAAAAAATGACTTTCAACCATTGATACTATGACGCATTTTAGTAGAAATGGAAATTAAAGATGCACAAAGATTTTTTTTAATTAGTGAAAACTACTACCTGAAATGTGCTGACCTAAAGAAAAAGGAGTTTCAAACTTTCATTATTATTTCTTCCAACACAGAAAGTGCTAACTTTTGTTACTGAACTGGACTGATGATTTATGGCCAGCTATGCAATTCCAGATTTCAGAACTAGCCCATTTCATCTTCCTACACCTATTAATTATTGCTGTGCTGCAAGAAGAAAAAATTTTCCTGCCTTTTTATTTCCTGGGAGACTTAAAAGCCTTGACAGAGCAGTCATTGAACTGACGTAGTAGAAGAAACTGAAGTATTTTGCGTTTTTTTTGTTGTTGAGTTTTTTTTTTTTTTTTTTTTAAGTTGTCCTATGGCTTGGTACCATTCTGCTTAAAATGTCTACTCCTTACTGAATGAGCACAGGTTCCTTCCAACAGATGCTCTAACTAAAGACCATATAAACATTTCAGATGTGGCTCTCTATTTCTATAAAATGCAGCCAACCAACTGGCACCAACCTATCTCATTCACACAGCATGTATTGTTTTACCCGCCCTATACTAGATCCTGAAGAAACCTTGGTGGAGCAACTCAAATATTATATTTTCACTAATAGTTTCCAAGTATTTTCATGTTTTTTTCTGAATCCTTCTGACACCCTTCTCCTCAATGAATGGTATCAATAGTTTAGTTCCCACTGTACCAGTAGGACATCTTATAAAATTTATTTCCTCAGGTACACCTGATCACCACTGTCAAAAAACTTTCTGAACACAAGTACTTGCCAAAATGCCCTTCCCTTCACTTACTAAAAAATGCAAATCTTCTGTTTTCATCAGTACAAATACAATCACGTTTTAAAGACTGCCTGGGTAACTGCCTACTGAAGAAAGGCAACGACAGTTCTCTTTTAGGAAAAAGAACAAAAACACCTTTGAACATTTGAACTGAATGGTTTTTTAAAAATCATTTGCTTCCTATTGATTTATAAAACCCAATTACTGGACAAAATATTGATCTCTCATCAGTCTGTCTGGTTCTTGTCCATTGATTCCTTCCCTATACAAGCAACACCTCTGTGCGCACCTTTCAGTACTTTCATATTTTAGATTCTTGGTTATTTCTTAAAATAATGAGTAATATAATTTCTGCTTGTAATAACTCTATATTATTATTATTATACAATAATTCTATATTATGTATGCTCTATGCATTAATGGATGCAAAATTATTACAGATTTTGCCTTGGTGAAAAATCTCTATTTTTACAGATTTTAGTTTCCAAGAGAACATGTATTGCTATAGTCTACTTAAAAGATATCAGGAGAAAAAAAAATTTGAAGTACATAGAAGGAACCTTAAATTATTTTATATACACTGATGTCTACTGCATTCCTACCAGCACTCCTGAAAGCAAAGTGACTAGTTATTCATTGATTTATACCCTGTGTTCTCACCATCACTCACCCTTCTATGTTTTTGTGACTTCAGGTCTCTGTGCATTGCCCGTGTTGCTAGCAGTGTCCTAGAGGCCTAATCCTGCTGCCATGATAGCAACAGATCTCCCCCCACCTGCTAATTTCTCCCTATCCTGGTCCTCCTCCGCCGTCTTGGAGGCCCTCCGACATCCTATGGCTCAACCTGATCTACACGTGTGTTAATCCATTACCCAGTATTTTGTGTTTGGTGGGCAAATACATACTGTTGATGTGTGTGGAGCAGCAAGGAGAGGAAGGGATATGGACAGCACCTGGATAAGCCTACTTTCCTTTTGAGATATGGTCAAACAGGAAAACAAAATGGGAAGCATCTCTTCTCTTAGCACCAAAGCGCCCTGAACGGTGCAAAAGCCGGGTAATTAACAGATTCTAGGGCCAGAGGGTACATTAAAAATTTACTGTTTGAAAAAGCAATCCCAGACAATCAAAGCAGGAAGATATATCAGAAAAATCTTCCCTAAGCTCAACAGAGTCAGTAGCAAAGCTATTTCCATTTAATTTGCAGTCATGTGGCTTGTCTGATTAACATCTGTCAGGGCTACTGAAAGACCGTGGACTCTGCAAAATGACGTAGAAAAGGTTTGGTGAAAAAACAGATTACACAGAAACCACGGAAGAAACGCAATGGAGGGAGAGCAGAGGTGGCTACTTATCCCAAAAGCCACTATTAGGATCAATACCTCTAATATTTGACACAATCTGACAATTAAGGAAACCTTTTTCCTTAAGAAAAGCGCAAGACAGAGGGTAGAACCTAAACTACAGTTACAACCAAGGTGCTAATCACTAACCTAATCGTTACACAAAAATGCCCTCACGACTACCCTGTGGACACAATTCAATATGTTGAAGACTGCGATTAGGGGAGAATGTAGGGAGGATGAGGCCAAAGTCCTCTTGGTGGTGGCCAGCAACAGGACAAGGGGTAATGGGTAGAGGTTGAAACACAGGAAGTTCCATCTCCATGTGAGGAAGAACTTCTTTCCTGTGAGGGTGACAGAGCCCTGGAACAGGCTGCCCAGAGAGGTTGTGGAGTCTCCTTCTCTGGAGATCTTCCAAACCCACCTGGATGCCACCCTGTGCCACGTGCTCTAGGTGTCCCTGCTGGAGCAGGGGGTTGGACTAGCTGATCTCTAGAGGTCCCTTCCAACCTCCACCATCCTGTGATTCTGTGTGATTAATCAGAATGCCAAGGCTGGCGCAGTTTAATTACATGTTGATGTCACAGTAATCAGAATATTCTCTAAACTGACTAGCCCCAATGCTCAGATTCGTTTTCAGATAACATTAAGCAGCTGCAATTATTTCTTCCAAATTTCCAATCCTTTTTTTTGAAGGAAAAAAATAAACAAATTATGTGAAAGAAATCCAAACAACAGTACAAAGAAAGTGGGGCTGTGGAGCTGCTGTAAAGCAAGTTGTTTAACAATATGACTAACTTCCCTCCTTCCTTCCTAAGGACCAGCAGCCTCATTGACTCATTTCCCTCCTTCCTTTTTCTTCTCTACCTGAAGACTTAAAAGCTTCTTACTTTAGAATAACCATTATGTTTATATTCACTGTTTACATTTGGCTACTCCTGGCTTTTTTATTCTTCGGAATGAAAAGCAAACTCCCATAAACAAAAGGTTGAATCCTTTCAAAGACACTGGCATCTTGCAGACTAATGTTACAGGAGAGATCAAAGATGCATGTTGGAGATATCCCTGGCTATTTACACTTGACTTTGCAAGGGGCAACCAAGAAAAAAAAAAATCCTCCCTGACAGTTTCCAGTGACCACACTAATCTGCTGAAGTAAAGAAGGCAGAAGAAGAGGAAAGAAAAAGAGGCGCTGTAGCTGGACGTTATTTGGAGACGGAAGATGAACGAAGGAAGGTAGGAAGAGCCAAAGATGATGAAGACAGGAAAGGCATCACTTAACAAAAACCCTTCAACACCGGCTTTTCAGCAACACAGTAATTATTCTTCAGTTTATATTTTTTCTAGTTTCATCTCAGATGCATGTTGAAATACACCAGCTATATTATCAACAAGGCACGTGTTCCTCTCAGTATGGTAACACTTATCAATTGGTATTGCATCCTAAAAAAAGTGTTTCACTTACACATTTGGATACATTCCCCAGCCTTTATGTCAGAATTCTGAGTATAAAGTTATTGTTCATACATTCTTCTACATTTCTGCTATAGTTGCAATGTCTCACTCTGTCATAAGACCTCATAGCACCCTACAGACTACAGAACACAAAAATCTCCTCCCCCAACTCTTAGACAAATTGAAAAATTTACGGAATAATTCTAAGCTCAGTATCTCAATGTATGTCTCTATGGGTGAAAATGTACATAAACACAAATTCAAACAATCATGCAGCCATATTATATTAGGCATTGTTAAATGGAAAAATAGTGCAAGGAATTTGAGAAATTATTTTCTAATCATAATTACATTAATATTTCCACTAAGCTTTTTAAATCTAAGATTCAATAAGCCAAGAAATATACCATAAAATCACAAATTATCTACTTTATGATTATAAAAAGCAGAAAATATTTCAAAGAGAGTTCAGCTATTTTATGTTCAAATACCTTGGACAAAAAAGATGCTTTGATTTATAAAGATGTAAGTCAGTATCTACTGCTATTTTATAAATGTCTTTTCTAAATGAGAATTCAGGATTTCACACTTAAAATGTGTGTAGGAAGCAGTCATGGTACCCAAATATCTGTTAGCTAAGTCACTATCTGTGTAGCATTTTCCTTAAAAAAATGCAACCCATAGGGTACTACTGTCATGTGGCAGAGTATCCCCAGTAACTACTTGTCTACACTTGTGATCTATATTCTAAGAGTATCTAAACTTCTGAATAATATATATTACTTCTGTATAATATATATACTGAATAATATATACTGAATAATATATATACTTCTGTATAATATTTTAAAGGTTTTAGAAAAGACATGCTATTATTTTTCATGCATTTTTGTTTCATTTTTATGGAACCAGAATTTGATTTACGGTACCTGTAAATGTTTTACAATATTCACAACTTCTCTAGTTGAATAGGGATAGGCAATGATTCCTTGATCAGCCAAACTCCTGAGTTCCCCAAAAGCAGCTACCAATTTTTGAAGAACTGGCTCTGGCACATCAGGTCCATATTGCCTAAGCATAGCCAATTCGGACTGTGGTTTGGGATTATCAACAGCATGGCAACTAAAAATGTCCCCTAAAAGAAAAAAGCATAAAGTTAAGCATTTTATAAAGAGAGAGCATAACAACAGCACTCTTAAATTTCTTACAGCAGTCTAAATGGAAAAGTGATTGGTCAAGAGGATGCTGATTATCTGTTTGTTGAAAAAAACAAACTAATGAACAAAGAAACCTGCCACTTAATAAAAACCTGTACAGAGGATGAAGTTGTTATGAGAAATGTATAGGATGCAAGAAGACAGAGGTCTCTTCCACCCTTTTCACAAAGGGTGATCACAAGAGAGAAATGAACTTCAACAAGAAACACAAATCAAATGAAATTAGAAAGAAAGCAGAAAAAAAGTTTTAAAGAAAAAATAAGAAAGGTTGTGTGGGATCAATCTGTGAAAACTGCCAAAACACCAACAGATAGAAGAAAATCTTGATATTCAGGAATGCAAATCCTGTGAGTTCTGGAGGACCTCTAGGGTTCTCATTTCTTTCTGTGTACCTTGCAGTGTGCTAGGAAAATTGTCAAACTAATGTTTACATACATTGGCATTATAATTGCCCTATTCATAAATTCTGTAGGACTGAATTTATTTGTAAAGAATATTCAAAAATCAAGTATCTTCAAGTTGAATCTCACCCTAAGCCTTCTATGTGTAACACAGTGTTTGAATCCCATCTCCCCATAAAATCTAGTGAAATAAAGACAATCATTCTATTAATCAGTTCTATTAAAGGCCAACATTTAATATGAATCACTTACCTAGAGTGCCAAAAAAGTCATTCCCTAAGAAAGGAAATCCAGGTCTGTTTGCTAGTACTATCATTCTAAAATCAGGATGAATTACTATTACATTTTCTCTCCCCAGTATATTAGCATGATCTGGAAAATAAGTAAAATTTAATAAATATATATTTAAGCTTTGAGATGGATCAGCAAACTACAAAAAGACCTAAACAGTTACAACAAACCTCTCGGTAACTTAATAGCATGTCCTTTGTGAGTGTTCCAGGTTTCACTTTAAAATTTCATAACTTGTTTCATAAAAATTTAAATGAATTGTTTCACTTAAAAAATGTAGCAACTGTTCTTGGAATGATGACTGCTAGTCCTATTTGTATTTAATTTAACTTTGCTGAGGTAAGTGGTCAAGAAAGTATTGTTTCACAGAGATTTGGAATCTTTTGGGCTGGGAAAACAGGACTGAAGTTTCTCCTGAAAATATTCTAAAGATTGTGAAAAGTCAGAGACATACGGGAAGGCTCCGTCTCTCAAAAATGAATCAGACTGGCTTCTCTTGCTCTCTGGCAATATGTCTTCATTGGCACATGGTATTTAGGAATCCTTTTACTTCATCTACAACTTCAACTACAATATAAACTGCAACTAGCTAGCAAGATTTTTTTAAAATGTCCATCTACAGTTCCTAATACAGTTCACAAGCACTCATTACATAAAGCATAGTGTCTACGCACATCAGAAGGACACTTGTCTTTCTTTGAAAGATTACAGAAAATATTTAGCTCCTGCTATGCATGTGAATAAAATACCAATTACAAAATATTCTCATCTTTCAGGAAATCTTTAAAAAAAAATGAAAATACAACATTTAATTAGCTAAAACCATTTAAAAATCTATCTTAGATATACTCTCATCTTTACTCCTGGTTCTGGGAAAATTACAACCCAGCTATTCAGATAAGCAGATCCAAAATCATAATTTGGTCAACTATATCTGTTTTGTTTTATGATGAATAAGAAATGAAGCTTTATGGTGAAGCTTGGTTTTCTAATTCCTCAACAGAATTCATGATAATGCTAATTTAAGAAAATGTTTGTGGTTATTGTAGGAATAACAAACGAAGTAATCTTTGTAAGATAAATATTTGACATCTCATACATTTAAAATCATTCTCTAGGGAGAAAATAAGTTCACTCCAAATTCTTTAATTGATAACCTTCTGGCATCAAATATACATACTTTTTCATTTAGACTCTCTAATTAATAATGTGGTTGCTGAAAAAAGCAGCAGCCTGCCATGCTTTATTGCATAAGATCAAAACACTACTTACTGGCAACGACTCTCCTTCCATCTGACAAAACCATTTCCCCACTTTCTACTAAAGTTTTCAAGACACAGGTGACATTTGTTGGTGCTTTGTCTGCCTCATCAATTACCAAAATATGTCCAAACTTCACTGCTTTTACCTAGAAGAGAGAGGAATGGCATCATCACAAGCCCACAGAGAAAACTGCAAGAAACTATTACTGACTTCTTGGTAGTGAGAAATACCTCAGTAGCACTGACAGAAGAAGGGAGCTGGAATGAGGGAGGAAAATCTGACCTGAATTGCAGCACACTGAAACAAAGAGGAAGCAAGAAAGATAAAGAAAGAAATGGGTTTTGGCACATGGATGGTAGGACTGTGCTAAAGAGAGAACTGAGAAGCCAGAGTGAAGATGAACCGGAGTACAGACAGGAAAGTACATGAACCATCTAGGTCTAACTGTCAACAAGAAGCTGAAAGAACTCAAGAATAGTTATAGGAGCTATTTGGACCCCAGCATAGCAAACTGATGCAGGATACTTTTAGATATTACAACAGAAGCAAGAAAACACCACTGCATCAATTAGAATATGTTAGGTTGACACAGAGAGATTATTTTTCATGCTCACTTTCTGTGTTCAGATGCCCTAGATTACCCAATTCAGCAGTTGGCAGAGAAAGCCTGACCAGTGTGAGCAAAGTTAATGACGTGTAACCGCTCTCACCAACTCATCCAAGCAATACTATGATCACAAAGCATTTTTTTATTTGAAAATGCCAGGGTGTTTCACTATTTATTTTAAAGAAAAAAAAAACACAACCAACTACTGACCAGTGGTGAATCTTCATATATAATATGTCCATCTTTAACAGAAGGTTGTAGAGTAAGGCTTTGCACAGTGGTATCTCTGAAAAGCAGAAAAATAAAATATTAATTGATATACAGTGGAACTTTAGCTTAAATAAGCTTCAAAATGCACGTATGAGGCTGAAAACTCTGTTTTTCGCTTTTGCAGGAGGAACAATATTTTCTAGACTTCATAAAGAACTTAAACTGAGACCACCACTGTGGTAGCTTGTTGGTCAAGGGAGAACATCATAGCAGCTCCCAATCTTTTATGAACCCTGGAAATGAAGACACTGAAAAGTCAATTATTGCTTTTGCATAGAGGTACATTACTACTATTATTACCACTTCTAGTTAAGTATTTTAAACGATCACTTACATGACAAAGAGGGAAAACTACGCAGAAGAAACAAACAGGAATTCACTGTATCATATTGAAATTGATAATATTTTAGTAACTCTTCTCCATATGACATATCACCAGGAAGAAGTCTAAAAATACTTTTGTGGAATTCCAAAAATCAACTATTTTTAGTTCAATCTAAACTGTACCAGATGGAATAACTTTTACTAGCACTTGCTACAATTTGTATCATAAACAGTTTAAATTCTCGGATGCGATGAGAAGGCTAAAATAGCAATAGTATTGCTTTTTGAAAATCTATTTGTGGCTAAATTACTCAGATGATTTTTTTTTTCAAATTAAAAGTAGCCTAATAAAAACCTGTAATAAGAATATTCCTTAATCTACATTATTATCTATTTCAGTCAACACTGAATGTGCACATAAATGAAAAACAGCTGCAACTCAGACAGGGCCAACACAAAATACCACCACACTGGGTCAGGAACCAGGGGGGAAATCCTCCTCATTCTAAACCTTGTACTGTCAAGATTCATAAAATCAGCCCCATGTAACTTGAGGTTCTGAGAAATAAATGAGCTAAGAAATGAAGCACAAGTGGGAGACAACAGAAGGTCCCTGTTATTCCCACAGTTCCATAAGAAATAGGAAATGCATTTCAGTCTTTGGGCAAGTAGACTATGCAAGCCATTTACTCCTATATTTCAGGATTTGGATTACCCCAATTCTGTGTCAGCAGGAGGATGAGCTGTTCACGTCTCATAACCAGGCAGGAGAGCTACATTTGTGTCGCTCGAGACCCACACGCTGCTCAGCAGGTAAGGCTGGTAACCTGTGCATCAGGTGCAAGACTTGGCACAACAAAAACCTGCCACCTTCCACAGCAATGCAGTAGAAAACAAACTGTTTGGTTATGCTTATGCATTTCATACGCTTACCTTCCTTTTGCCTTTAATTTTGAAGCAGCTTGTAAAAAAATCAGCAATACTCTGATAAGCTCTATGAGTACAGGAAATCCAACACAGGGCTACTTGCAGTAAACTACTAAATGACCAGCTTCCAGTGACAGCTTAAAACTGACAGCATAACATGGCAATCTGATCATTTTGAAACTCCTGTCAGCAGGATTTCTTTCTCTAACAAGTAATACTTCCTTGTTTAGCTTTAAAATCATGATTGATTTATCCCAATGTCTCCCATGCAAAGCAATAAAGCACAGGGAGGAAACAGAGCTATTTAGTATCTGGCTACTTCACTTGGACTTCAATCCAGGAGGGAAAAGGCTATAAAGTCAAAATTTCCCCCCATCATTTATCTCCAGCAACTGCAGCCTCTCAAAAAGAGCAGAACTCCCTAAAGATAACTGTATCACACTGTATTGACATGCAACTAATGCAGCTCAGCATAAATTTTATAACCATTTAATCCATTAACCTAGAAAACCTGCTGAGAAAGCCAACCCCAAGCCTCTGTTGTTATCCTTCTTGTTTACCCATTTCTCTGTGGGACAGAGAAATCACCAGTGGAAGCAACGCCGACAGACCCGTGCTGCCTCTTGGGCACAGATGACTTGGGGACTGAATTCTTTCTTTTCTTTCATCTCATTTTGTTATCAGTGGTTCTCTGTTGTTATTCAGGCCTAATTGTTTAAGGAAATGTTTCAGAAAATTTGAAATGTACTGTGGAAGCTAAATATACAGCTGAACATTAATTCCATTGGTTTGATGACATAAGTGGATGCAAAACTCCAGTATCTGCTTAGGCTACTACATTCAGCAAATGCATGTAAGAATGATTTTTCTGGGGTTAGCACAGATAAATGCAATTTTCCTTTTGGAATCAGAAGCCATGCAGTTAGATATCATCAACTTCTGTTCTTCAGAAACTTAATATGAAGTAAGTTCAAAAAATAGCTAAAAGAATTTGTCTCCTTAGGCCTTCCTCTTAAATTTTCACTTTGTAACTGGCTATATAAATGTAAAGACACTCACCAAAAGAAAAAAAAAAAGAGTAAAAATACGCTAAATGTGCAGTATTTCTGAACAATATTGGTTGTGGATTTTTGCAAGCGTAAAATGCCCTTGGAATTCACAGCACTAACTATAGCATTTCACTCCCACAGAAAATCAACTAAAAAGCCTATCTCCTATTTCACATTTACTTATTAACATCTTAATTTTAACTAGGCTCTGACAAAGGCAAGAATATTAAACCCCCTTAACTTCATCACAGTTGGCACCCAAGATGAAAATAGTGCTAACATAAAGAAGTGGGACTGTGGGAATGGAGAAGCGGGTGAGGAAAATCTGTCAAATTCTCATCCTACTTAACTGAACAGATATTTCTCCAGGTTGCAAAAGAAACACCAGGAAAAATCAGCAGGGAGATCAGCAGTATCTTTCCTAAGAAGTTGTTTTTATTTTTTACAAGCATTCAGGGAGGCCTCTGCTTCCCTACAACCATAGAGGGAGGGAAGAAAACCCGGTACTAACGCCCAGGAACTCTTCTTCTGACCATTCCATTTAATTCACAGCAGCACTCCCGAGACTGCTGCTGATGTTGTTTGCTTAAGTTCACTCACTCACACTAGTGAACTCGCCTGTTCTGCCCATACAGATTCGCTCCTTGCTGCTGGGGTACTGCTTCCCCCACAGGCAGCCCTCAACCTTCCAGGCTTGCTGAACGCACACTAGTCCCTGACAGCTACTACGTCTTGAGCAGCAATGCCTTCTTTCCTGGGGTAAACTAGGAAACACAGCAGGAGACATTTCTATAAACCCCAGAAAACCATGTTGTTTACGTGACGTGTCTGCAAAACTATAGATTGTATGTGCTGCAAAACTACATATGTGCTGCAAAACTATAGATTGTATGTGCTGACACGTCACCCACCACACACTGAAATCTAAACACTAAAATAGGATTTGAACCATTGTATTCTTAATTAATTGTTATGAAATTTAAGGAATGGAAAATGTATTGTACTGCTGCATTTTAGAACATTAAATTATAGAATATCCCATTAGAACCTCAGCTGACATGCCAGACATCCATGTTCACTGATATTAGCTGAAAGGCAAAAAAAAATCAGAGTACCAGAATATAGCTTGTAATGATTTTTGTACTTATTTCTGTGATATACATCTATCTTCTCAGCCCTATTTCAATCTGACATGAACACGGCCATCTGGTGTGACCTCATTCTAAGGGTATTTGGAAAAATAGTTATTAGGTTAAGAGCCATTTGAAGTTGTTTATTGGTTTAGCTAATCCACTCATGTATTATGCCAAGGGAGATTGAGAGATCATACCCCATCAAAAAAAACCTGCCTGAATTTGACATTTACAATGGAATTTCTTTCACTTCGTTGCCTGACCTATCGTATGGCCACTGCATTACATGATCTGACTACCATGCCCAGGAAATTTTGAAGCACCTGTAAAGCCAAGCAGCTCTCTCACTTCTCTGTTAAAATGATATTTTAAAGCCTTTTTTTTTTAGCTTCCCTGTATGCACCAATAGTTATGCCCCTAATTTTTTTCAGATAGGACATTGTATCTGCTCAGTGGGGCATGTATTTGTTTAAAATGTAAAGAATTATTTGGAGTATAAAAGTACTTATTATTGGCATGACTGAGGGTGGCAGAACAAAGGCTGAAACATTATGTTTAATCCAAGTTATAGCTTAAATCAGGTTACCGAATTACTTAGAAGTGATCCATCTTTTAAAACAAGGTGTGACATTTCCACATAGATCCTTGTAACAACATAATGAAATTCACTCCCCCTAATTGTCAACCCCGTAAATGAAGAAACACGGCTTCCCACAGCTCCCCTTGTTTCGTACAGGAACACAATTCACTGAGTAAACAGCTGGAAACTGCTACTCTCAGCTTCAGAGGGAAATGAAGGGTGTTCTGACCCACGTTATTGCCCCACAGGAGACACTCAGCAGGGAAACACAGGCTGAATTCAAACGCTGCAAACGGGATAAATGAGGCAGCTCTTCAACACCTGGAGTCACCTCTAATAAAACAGCGCAGCTTAAGGGCATTTTTTTCCACAAGTCTGCTACAAAGATTGTTTTTCAGTAGTTGTTCACTTAGAGAACAGACCTGCAGAGCTATATCAGCATCCAAATTATCTCACATAATCATGTATTCTTTTTCAAAAAGGAGACCAAATGTAATTCTGAGAACAGGTATGCTACAATTTTATAGTATTCGATGTTCATCTAAGTCTTGGGTTACTTATGTTACTCTTTCTCCAACAACTTTCTAATTTAGATGCTTTTTTAAAAAAAAATCTCAAGTCAATAAAGCTGAAAGAGTAGTTGTAAATGATCTCAGTAGGAGAAAGAGGTAATTAGATTTTATACAGATCATGCGTGCTGAAAAAAAAGAAGGAAAGAACATTAAAGGATTAATGCACAGTTTGTAGAGATTATTGCTTGTAGGGAAGCTGTAAACTCATTTTCCTACCCCAAATCTCTCCATTAATTTAATTGTTAAAGATCACAATATAGCTACATTTATTTAAAAAAGAATAATATACGTAAACTCAGTTAATTTTAAAAAGATCATCAGATCACCGTAATTTATCAGAGAGCTAGAAAAGGCACAATACAAAACATGTTAGGTTTTTAAAATAAACCCTGGACAGCACTTTCAAATCATCACTCACTTGAACAACTCTAACAGGATGTTAAATTCTTAAGCTCATTCTTCAAAAGGAAACATAGCAACAGGAAGATAAGTATAAGCAGCAAAGTATCTTCTAAAATTACAGTAAGGTTATAAGACAAATAGAATTTTTGTATCAGTTAGTAGCCTGTTGAGAGAGGTACTTTTTCTTCTGGAAGGTTGTAATTTTGTTGAGGAACACCCATAGCAGACGCTCTGTAGAGATGAAGAGAGTGGGCTGCAATATGTGCACTTCTTACAGCCAATCAATAGCTGAGACAGCATAAAATCAGGAAAACATTAAGATAAATTTTCCCTTAATAAAATAAAATTTCCCTTAACATGAATTATTTACATTCATATTGTAACAAGAAAAAATGTAAAAGTTATTAAACTTAATCTCATTACACAACCTGTCTTATTCTTCTTGATCTGAAAATAATGAAAAGTCTGAAAGTGCCTCTTTTTTCCCCTTAAACTGCTGCTCCATTCTGACATGTTTTTGTGTTAAGTAAGGACAGTGCATACAGCCTCCCCACAAGGAATTGCTAATTTGTTAAATTATTTAATTTTATAAAGACAAGAGAAAACTGATCTTTAACTTAAAAAATGATTTTTTTTTTCAACTGGACATTTTTAATTTTGCTAGCCACTTTATCCAGATGCCACCTTTCAGAAATCATTGGCAAATCAACGGGCAGACCGTGCACCCAATTTTATGAAGAAAGTCCTGACACAATAAACAAACCAAGAGTCTTCCAGAGCCACCCACATGTGCTGCTTGGAATACAGATCTCCTTTGCACAGCGGGTTTTTCTTCACGAGGGGCTACCCCTAAAGAGGGAGGCTGCGGCTGCTCTCAGAGCGAGCAGGAGCACAGCTCATGGGGACAGGGAGTTATTTCAGAGGGTTCCTCTGCTTTCTGACTACACGACCTCAAGCCAAGCCGGCCTCAGCAGAATAGAGGCAGCGGCTCTTTCGAGACCAGATCTCGAGTTCACACTATCTGGCTCTTCACAACATTTCTCCAGTTCTCTTTAGCTGCCTAAGAATTTAGATGAGAATAAATTATATGTAAATCTTGTTCTCTTTTTTTCCTTTTTTTAAGCCCATGTACTAAAGACTAGAAGTTTATTTTAATGAAAGTTAAAATCACACACCATATGACCCCAAAAGCTCGATGTACATATTAATCCAGTGCTTTTAGTGCACATAAATCTAGCACATAATCCAGTGTCTTTAGCACATAAAACCATTTACATTAGTACAAGCTACTGTAAGATGTAGGTCACTGAATTTTACACCCTGCTTGTCAGAGCTTAAACCGCTCAGAAAAATGGACTGTTATACGTCCCTTCACCACCCAGTACAAACAAGTAAAAAAAAATCTTGAGCCATAAACCAAGCTTGCACTGGAAACAGAAGGATAAACGTGGTACAATCTGCACAGAAGTGGTAACTGCAGTGTAAAGAAATCATTTGAATTAAAATTTAAAGATGTGGTTGACAGTAAAACCAAATTACAAAAAGATTGGTGATTAAACAAAATCTGAAACTAAGTGATTCCAAAAACTAAGTGATTAAATAACAGATACAGAAATGCTTGTACACCAACAAAACTATTATTTGTGTCTACTAATTTAGTACCATTGATACCATTTGATGGTAAGAGAAGTAAATTTTTTTTTGTCTTTAATCACATCAAAGGAGCTAGCAGTTTAAAGTCCACAATACTTTCTTGGGATGTTTTTGTGCAGAGCATCTGGAAGCTGACATTTTTGCATTTATCTATTGCTCTCATCAGTGCTAGGGAAGATTTTGTAGTCTTAATACAGCACATGTTCTTGCTTCAGTCTTCCAAAAAGCTTTAACATCCTTTTCATCCTTCTGTTGAATCTTGTTTAAAGATGCTTAGATGCTTCACAGTTTTGCAAAGAACCACTCTTGATTTCTTTTTACACTGCTCACATTAGAAAGATCAGAATAACGACAGGAAGGGTCAAAATGAGCCTTTCAAAGGTTCATACGGTTAGGCATATATACGGATACTTCATTCTGAGTTAGGTTTAGTTGGAGGATATCAAAGTTTCCAAAAAAATTCTAAGTGTCTGTCTTCAATTTATATATAGATCCCTTACAGGCCCCAAGTGCACTGGACTCACAAATCTTCACCTTTCTAGAGGGATCATGAAAGCGCATGAACCAAGGTGAAAGCAGCAGGAACTTAAAATATCAGGCAAGATAACACTGATGCATGTTTTACAACTGGGCAAACAACAGCTTGAAAAGAACCACCCTGCCAAGGTAAGTAAAATACAGCATTTCCGTGCTGGAACTTATTCTTGTAGGAAACGGATTGGGAATCTGTGGCAGATTAAAGTTTCTTCCTCACACATGGAGGAGCAGCAAGAGGCTTCATAAACGAGTGGAGTCCTGGAGAGAGGCCAAGAAGAATCTACCCCAAACTATCAGTTGGAGAATCAGAATCACATAGCCCCACATTTGATACAGCCAGTGGTGCCTATTTGATAACCAAGAACTGGTATATAGCACCTTTTTGAGCACTCACTCTTTTTAAAGTTCTGATTTATTCCAATACTAAGAAATAGATAAACAAAGAGCCAATATTTTGAATATTTCTTAAGCAAATATTTTTCTTAAAACCTTATTAAATCTAATCATGGCTGCTTTTCCATTTCCTGATCCAAAAATCATTCATGAAATTTAACAATTACACCCAAGAATATAAGACCTCTCAATGAGGTACTGAAAGAAAGGTTAAGTCGAAGGATTTATAATCTCCATAAGCAATCTAGTTCTTAAGGTCAGACTGACCCTCTCATGTGAATTAGTGGTTGAACAAGTAAATACAGATGTCAGAAGGGATGTTTAAGGATATAAACTTCTCCTAATTCTGTTTTCTCTCTCCCGTTGCCTCCAAGTACAAGGCATAAAGTGTGTGATTTTAAAAGTGATCCTGCTATCAGCTCATTGTCTCTAATAGAGAAAACATTTTCTGGAGTTTTTAAAAAATGGTTTGATTTCTCTATATAAGCATATTGATAAATCAGCAGAAATTATACTATTTTACCAAGAAAGTGAAAATAGAAAAAAAAAGGCAGACCATATTTTATTGTATTTTTAGTATTTTTAGGTCTTTCATATTCCCATTTGTTAGGAAAGGGGCTGTTGCAGTCTTTCATAATAAATGTCTAAATGAATTACACTTCATAGCACAACGTAACATACTATATGAAAGTGTATTTCCCCAAAACTGTTACCAATCTGTAGGAACATCTCGGGCTATGAGGAACATCTTAGCAAAAGTCTCTTTTTGACAAAGACTAGACAGTAGTCTTATCAAACACAGTTTTATTTTCTACTGTGCTAAACAATTGTGATCTCCTTACATTCTTGTACCTCCCTAAGTGTATTATCATAGAATCATAGAAACATAGAATTAGTGTATTGGTCCTGCCCATATAAACTCTTGCAAAAAATACACATTTTTAGGGACTGTTTGTGCGCTATCCACCATAAGTGTCTGCCTCCAAACAGTAAGAATCCATTTAACTTCAGAAAATGATTTTAAAACATGAAAAATCAGATTGCAAACAAGAAAGGGCAGAAATGTAACATATCCTTACCTATGCAACTGTAAATACTCCCTGGGTCTGTTTAAGAGGTGAAGGAATCTGTCAACGATCTTGTTTTTCCCAACACCCTGCAATAAACATATATGTATAAATATACAAGGTAAATGTTTAAGCCGTTTCAATACACATCAGAAACTCTGAATACGATCTGATGATACATACGTGTTACGTACGTATATACTTGCAAAACACTTTATCTTGCTAGGAATAAAAAGAAATAGGATCATGTCTCGAGTTACATCACTCACACCTATGCATCCTTTTAAGCAACACTGGTTTCTCAAACCCTTTCATGTCACAAAGCTCTTCTGAGGCCAGGAGCACTGGCTAGTGGGCTCAGAGTAAATGCAAAAAGGTGAAGCTTGTCACAGGTAACATCCAGTAGCAACCACGAGGAGTTAGGTAGCACTTGGTTATATTGGCTAGTCTCAGGTAATTTAATTTAAAAGAGTAAAACAAAACGAATGAAAACAGAATTGCAAACTGATCTATTACTCCTGTTGTAGACACACATTGATAGCGCACAGCAATGACAGTGAGCTACAGAAGCGAGTGAGTCACAGGATCACAGAATGGTTGAGGTTGGAAGGGACCTCTAGAGATCATCTAGTCCAACCCCCTGCTCCAGCAGGGACACCTAGAGCACATGGCACAGGGTGGCATCCAGGCGGGTTTGGAAGATCTCCAGAGAAGGAGACTCCACAGCCTCTCTGGGCAGCCTGTTCCAGGGCTCTGTCATCCTCACACCTTGGTGACACCTACAGAGGCATTTCAGGGTTTTTACTTCAGAGCAGGCCTAGTCTGGTCCCTTGGAATGAATGAGCAGCCTGAAGGCATCAGGTGTGCTGCCCACTTTCCCACTTTAGCCTCACCCTAAAGGATCCAGGTCATCCTTGTCCCTTGACTACTGCATGTAAGGAGATGCTCTTCGAAAGCGCATTCCTGTTTAGGCCTGAAATTGTAATGCATGCTCAGATGACAGTACAAACGCAGAATTTTTTTATCCCTCCTGTAAAAAATTTGCTGCAATTTTGGAAAATCATAACAAAAGTGAGACTGTCAAGGTTTGGCAGTGGGGAGAGAGTGGGAACGAAGCTCAGTTGTAACCCATCCAGCTGGAGGCAGCGTGACAAGAGCCTCTCACACCACTGAGATTCAGATCCTGACTGCATGAATCCGTCCAGCCCACACTAGTGTAAAATAAAGCAGGCAGATACAACCCATGGGTAGATTAAAGAGTTTAGCAGGTCTCGAGTTGGTTTAATGTAATCTGTTTCTCTTGGCATTCAAGCAGAATGGGAGAATTCTCACTGCGAGTTGGGACTTTCAGGACTGTCAGTTCTAGTGGAAAGACAGTAACCGGCTGTGGCAGAACTGCAAACTGTTCAAGCTTCTCAAAATGGGATCGCCATCTATCATCCCACTACGTTTATGAGACTGCAGAATCAAACACATATGGGTAGTATTTGAAAGCATGGAAGGAAAGATCTGACCAGGGGAGTAGAAGAAAAAAAATATAGCATCGATGACAAAAATAGAACCACACAGATCCGACTGTGGACTCAATCTGAACTCAGGAGAGCTGAAATTCAGGCTAGCTTTCTGCCATATGCCTTCTCATGAGCCTTCCTCCATCTGATCCTTCAAAAGAATCCACAGTTTCATATGAGATTGTAAGTAAGAAGTTATCACATGCTTAAAAACATCCACTTCCAAACCCTATTGCTCTCTGGGAAAAAGAATTCTCTAGTGCTTTAAAATAAAGGAGGATGTTTTGATAACAAATTCTCCTAGAAACTCAAAGAACATACCCATTTGAGGAAAAATATTCAGCTTCAGGATCTGTATCAGAAGCATCAAAAGTAACCAGAAAGGGTAGCAATCCTCTTACAGCACATATGGACAGTTTTATTCCCATGTGTTTGTCACTGCTTGCAGTAAGACATTTGAAACTGTAAATGGGTCAATAAACTGGAATAATCCTTCTAATGTCAAGCACAAATACCAGTGCTAAAAGCAGCTTCCTTCACATTTTTCTAGGAGCCCTGCAGAGGCCTGGGCAGATGTTTGCCGGCAGTATTTTGTACCCGGTCCCCAGTGGGTTGTATATCCTCTGCAGCGCGGGACTCTCGCCAGCTGTGGCGAGAACAAAGCTGAAGAAATAGATGAACATATTGAATCAATGTAAAACATATTTAACATCAAGCACAACGGTTACTGTAATTAGAAAAAAAGGACTTAGACTTTCATGTGCATTAGCAAAAAGAGTGCGCGGTTTGTCTGTATATTTAGAATACCATCCTAAAACCATGCCTGAGAAGACGATTTCCCAGCTACAAAATAGCATAGCTAGAAAAGATGGAAAGATGGACACGTAGCTGATTTTGTTTCTTTTTACCCATGCTGTTATCATCCAGGATCTTCAGAAGAACATACCTCACTCCTGAAAGCGCACGCATGGTGGGAATGGGGCAAGCGCCGTTACCAAAGGAACACCCAGAGGCCAAAGGGAGCTGCGCCGTGCCCGTAACTCACCCTCGTCTAACCTGTATCTGTGCATCACAGCAGTTTCCCTGCAGACCTCCTTTTATTTTAAGTACGGTTTGATTTCAGAACGTGATGCATTTTTAAAAGGTGATTGCAATACCACAGAATCACAGAATGGTTAAGGTTGGAAGGGACCTCTAGAGACCATCTAGTCCAACCCCCTGCTCCAGCAGGGACACCTAGAGCACGTGGCACAGGGTGGCATCCAGGCGGGTTTGGAAGATCTCCAGAGAAGGAGACTCCACAGCCTCTCTGGGCAGCCTGTTCCAGGGCTCTGTCACCCTCACAGGAAAGAAGTTCTTCCTCATATGGAGATGGAACTTCCTGTGTTTCAACTTGTATCCATTACCCTTGTCCTGTCACTGGCCACCCCCGAGAAGGAATATCCAAATATCCAGAAGCCACAAGGAGGTTCCACCAGACTTAACTAATAGAAACATGTCAATGTTGCCCAACTCCTGGGCTGAACGGCTTCGGAGCGTACGCTATGTGCCTTCAGCGAGGCTGTGGTGTACCACATAAAATCCTTGGTCAACGACAGCAGTTGGAGCAAAGGCCAAGTCAAGGCTCTTTGATCCAATTCTTTCACATTCTTACTTCATGACAAGCTACCACTTCTCCCTGTCTCAGTATTCCAGCAAGAAGGCACACTGTAATTATTTTAGAAACTAAGGAAAAAAAAAGCTAAAAAAAGAACTCATATGATCTCCTTGAGCAGTACTCATCGGCAAGAGACCCAGGGAACCAGGTTTCTTCCAAATACACCTGACCCCCATGGGATTGAGAATGTGTCTGGTAATTTTCTTCAGACAAACAAAAACTGTGGAAAATCCTAATGTATTTAAAAAAATACTCTGAAACAAGCCAGTGGCATCCCAGAAATAAGAAATGAAAATATGGCAAAAAGTCACCCTCCTTCTTCTGTAAGCTATATTCATCTCACAGCTAGTTGGTAACTATTTCTACAGAAAGAATCAAAACTACACATTTCCTATAAATACACTAAAATACTGATTTGAACTTGGATTGGATTCAGAATATAATTTCATTTAATTTGCACTAATGACATTCAAAAGTAACATTCCGAGGACAAACCAATTTGCCATTAACACTGATATTTCTATATGTAATATTGCAGATACTTGATTTTAAGGAAATATAAACATATGGAAATTAAAGGGAAAATAATATCTGTGTTGGCATTTCAGCTAAAAGGAATAAAAATATTTCTGAAAGGAAATTCTAGACATTTTAACTCCATTAGAAATACAGGATAACTGAAACAGAAAAATAGGAAGCAAAAATCTTCAGTAATAAGTAAAATCATACAAATGACAAATCATACAATTAACAAATCATACAGAAGGCAAATTCCCTATTCAAAAATCCTCCTAGCTGACATTGTAAACACTTGTTACTAAGGATAAAATGACTTAATCTTCTAACAGGAACAATGACGGCAGCTTCAAATATGAAGAAAAGTTTTAGAGGGCCCAGGAGGCGTTTTGCAATTCAGGCTGCAGCTATTACAGCAGTGGGACAAATTTCTCCCCTGCACAACTCAGCTGAAATCAAAAAAGTTATAGAGGAGTCTCAAAAAGTTATACGGGCCCAAGTTTTTGAAATTAATATTTTGCTTCTTAGAGCAAGGACCTCCAAAAAAAAAGCTAAAAAACCCTATGTTATTTTTATTTTCTTTGAAAAGATTTGCAGGTCACAGTGGAGTAGTTCAAGCAGCAACTACTTTGTTCTGTTCAGCACCATCCTTCAGCCAAATACTGCAATCCATGTCAGTACACAGGCATCCTGTGTAGCCTAAATTCAGCAGAGCATGTTTCATTAGAAATTAATGTTTCATTAGAAATTAATGAAAATCAGTTTTTTCAACAGAAAGAGGCAGTTTTCCACTTTTCCTCTTGGACCTTCCAGATAGTTTTATTCTACAACAAGATTTGAAACGTTATTACTACAGAATGAAAGACAATATGGATTTTTCCCTAACTTTAATATAGAGCACACAGAAACCTTGCCCCAAAGTTCTGCTTGTGACTTTATAGCAATAATTCTGCAGCTGGTGGCATTATCACAGAAACTTATGGTGGAACAATGCAAGCCAAGAGGACGAAGACCCTTTGCTAACATCTGGTTTCTGAGCCTGCATGTGGCACTCAACCGCAACCAGCCCCGTAGCTTGCCGCCGTCTGCCGGGTGCGGGCTTCTGGTTTAGACTGCTATTTTTTACACTGGAGGTTATAATTCTGATAGGAAAAAAAAAAAGTTTCCCACTTTCTGCTTGAATTGAGTATGAATAATGCGGTGTAACAACTGCAGAAGATACATGGACAGAAGGCCCAAGTTATTGCTACCAGAGGATCCCATCAACAGACCCCACCACTGCTTTGATGCTGGTAACCAAGGAAAATAGTTGCTAAAAAGTAGCAGTGATTTAAGTCTTGCTCAAACTGTCATTTATATATTGGTCACAAATATTTAGCACAGGTGTAATCTGTGGTTTAGAATC